TTAACAAGCAGCCTGGGCTTGCTGCAAAGGCCCCCCGACGGCCGGCATCCCCGCCCTTTCAGGGGGCCCCTCCCCCATGGGTAGTGGCTGGGCACCCCCCCGAACTGTGACAGCGGCAAGGGCAGCAGAGTGGCTTCCCTTCAGGGCCACCAGGGTGCCTCATCAGCAGGTCTGACCGCTTTCAGAGACACTACTCGGAGTGGCTCGCTTCCTGCTCGATGCACAGATGGATGGACAGCCTGATCCGCTGGGATCACAGGCTGCAGTACTCCTCTAAGTGGTCGGCTTTCCAGCGCTGGGTCTGGACCAGGGGACGGATCTGGTCGTCTGTCCGCTGCCGGTGGTGCTTTCATTCCTCCAGCCGCTCATGGACAGGGGGCTGGCGTTCAGTACGGTTAAAACCTACACTGCCGCCATGTCGTCCTGTCACAAGGGCTTCGGGGACAGGACTGTGCTCTCCCAACCCCTTGTGAAGCGCTTCCTTAGAGGGGTGCGAAGGTGCAGGCCGGTGCCGTGGCCTGTTGCCCCACAGTGGGATTTAGCGCTGGTTTTACGTGCATTATCCCAAGCCCCGTTTGAGCCTTTGGAGACGGCGGACCCGAGATTCCTTTCGGCTCAGGTCGCCTTGCTCCTGGCTCTGACATCGGCCAAGAGGGTCAGCGATCTGGCTGCCCTCTCTGTGGCTCCGTCGTGCCTCAGGATTCAGGGTGACGGCTTTTTTCCTCCCCCCCATGGGTCGGCGGAGGACGCGACGTCCCACCCCCTCTGCCCGGTGCGAGTGCTGTCCTGCTATGTGGCGCGCACGGCCGCCTGGCGCTGTTCTCAGCGTCTATTTGTGCTCTACAGGAAGCGGTCCAAGGGACCTCCCCTGTCGGAGCAGCGCCTGTCTCACTGTCCCACTGGACGGTGTGGGGGGGCGGCCGCTGCTTATGTGGCCCTGTCTTGTGCGCAGCTGATGTGGTCACTGTCGTGACCCCGCCTACCTCTGTACAGCTGCGGGGCCCCCCATCCACTTTCCCGACTTACACATGGGTCGGCCCTCGGCCTCGCCATCATTGCTCGCACGCATGCTGACACCAATGCCGCGGTCAGCGGGTGACTGTGTGGCTCATTGTGACTCTGGGCGGGTGAGTTGTGCTTGGTTGTACCATATGGGCCAGTGAGGCGCTGACTCATCCTGCTTCGCCTCTAACCCAATAGCGAAAGCCTTAGAGGGCGAAGCATATACGAAATAGAACGGGGGTTACGTACTATAACCCGGATTCTATGAGTATAGGCGCAGCCCTCTAAGTTGTAGGCCTCACTGGACCTTGGTTCTCAGTGTTGAAGAAAAGGCATTTGGGAGCCGATGGCTGGGCCTCACCGTTGTATATATACAAGGTGCGGACGTAGCAGAGGCCCACGCCTTGATCAATATTAAAAATCATCAGGTTACCTTAGGATCGTTTGACTGTAGTTTGAAGTCTGTGACTCCATCCAGTTTCATTCAAATCTGTTTACTTAATGACCTGATGAGATGACAACAAGAGAAATACAGGGAAAAAACAACCGTTATCCTAAAATAGACAATTTTGTACATTGGGGTATGGTGAAGACATGCTGCGATGAATAGAGGTTATCAGCTGTGACTGAAATGCAGCAGTACGCATGAGGTGTCAGCCCAAACCTATAAGACTTCATAAAAAACTAAAAATCATCAGCTTACTTCAAGAACATTTGATGGTAGTTTAAAACCTGTGACTCCACCCAATTTAATTCAAATCTGTTTTCTTAATGACCTGATCTGCTGAAAACAAGAAAAAAAATCAGAAAAAAGGACTTTTCTCCTCAAATAGACATTTATTTTACATGGAGTATGGTGAAGACATGCTACTATGAGTAGACGTCATCAAGTGTTAGTAAAATGTAGCAGTACACTTGAAGTGTCTACCCATATTTCTAGACCTTGATCAATATTAAAAATCATCAGGTTACCTTAGGAACGTTTGATGCTAGTTTAAAACCCGTGACTCTGTCCAATTTAATTCAAATCTGTTTTCTTAATGACCTGATCTGCTGAAAACAAAAAAAAATAAGAAAAAAAGGACTTTTCTCCAAATAGACATTTATTTTGCATGCGGTATGATGAAGACATGCTACCATGAGTAGACGTCATCAAGTGTGAGTGAAATGTAGAAAAATACTTGAGATGTCTACGAAACTTATAGAACTTGATCAATATTAAAAATCATCAGGTTACCTTAGGATCGTTTGACTGTAGTTTGAAGTCTGTGACTCCATCCAGTTTCATTCAAATCTGTTTACTTAATGACCTGATGAGATGACAACAAGAGAAATACAGGGAAAAAACAACCGTTATCCTAAAATAGACAATTTTGTACATTGGGGTATGGTGAAGACATGCTGCGATGAATAGAGGTTATCAGCTGTGACTGAAATGCAGCAGTACGCATGAGGTGTCAGCCCAAACCTATAAGACTTCATAAAAAACTAAAAATCATCAGCTTACTTCAAGAACATTTGATGGTGGTTTAAAACCTGTGACTCCACCCAATTTTATTCAAATCTGTTTTCTTAATGACCTGATCTGTTGAAAACAAGAAAAAAAATCTGAAAAAAAGGACTTTTCTCCTCAAATTGACAATTTTTTACATGAAGTATGGTGAAGACATGCTACTATGAGTAGACGTCATCAAGTGTTAGTAAAATGTAGCAGTACACTTGAAGTGTCTACCCATATTTCTAGACCTTGATCAATATTAAAATCATCAGGTTACCTTAGGAACGTTTGATGCTAGTTTAAAACCCGTGACTCCGTCCAATTTAATTCAAATCTGTTTTCTTAATGACCTGATCTGCTGAAAACAAGAAAAAAAATCAGAAAAAAAGGACTTTTCTCCTCAAATAGACATTTATTTTGCATGCGGTATGGTGAAGACATGCTACCATGAGTAGACGTCATCAAGTGTGAGTGAAATGTAGCAACATACTTGAGATGTCTACCAAACTTCTAGGTCTTGATCAATATTAAAAATCATCAGGTTACCTTAGGACGTTGATTGTAGTTTGAAGTCTGTGACTCCATCCAGTTTCATTCAAATCTGTTTTCTTAATGACACGATTAGATGACAACATGAGAAACACAGGGAAAAAACAACCGTTATCCTAAAATCGACATTTTTTACATGGGGCATGGTGAAGACATGGTACTATGAGTAGACGTTGTCAAGTGTTGCAGTACACTTGAAGTGTCTACCCAAACCTCTTGGCCTTGATCAAAAGAAAAATTCACCAGCTTACCTTAGGAACGTTAGAAAGTAGGCTATTTGGACATCTGTGACACCCTCCAGTATCAATAAGATCTGTTTACTTAATAAATTGATTATTTGACAACACAAAAAATACAGAATAACAGCAACCTTAATCTTTAAATGGACAGCTTTTTACACTGGAGTATGGTGAAGACATGCTACTATGAGTAGACGTCATCAAGTGTTAGCAAAATGTAGCAGAACACTTGAAGTGTCTACCCAAACATCTGGGCCTTGATCAAAAGAAAAACTCACCAGCTTACCTTAGGAACGTTGCAAAGAATTACGACATCTGAGACTCATTCCAGCATCAAGAAAATGTGTTTTCTTAATAAGTGGATTAATTGACAACACAACAAATACAGAATAACACCAATCTTAAGCTTTACATTGAAATATTTTTATATGCAGTATGGTGAAGACATTCTACGAAGAGTAGAGGTTATCAAGTGTGAGTGAAATGTAGCAACACACTTGAGATGTCTACGAAACTTATAGAACTTGATCAATATTAAAAATCATCAGGTTACCTTAGGATCGTTTGATGCTAGTTTAAAACCCGTGACTCCGTCCAATTTAATTCAAATCTGCTTTCTTAATGACCTGATCTGTTGAAAACAAGAAAAAAAATCTGAAAAAAAGGACTTTTCTCCTCAAATTGACATTTTTTTACATGGAGTATGGTGAAGACATGCTACCATGAGTAGACGTCATCAAGTGTGAGTGAAATGTAGCAACATACTTGAGATGTCTACCAAACTTCTAGGTCTTGATCAATATTAAAAATCATCAGGTTACCTTAGGACGTTTGATGTAGTTTGAAGTCTGTGACTCCATCCAGTTTCATTCAAATCTGTTTTCTTAATGTCACGATTAGATGACAACATGAGAAACACAGGGAAAAACAACCGTTATCCTAAAATCGACATTTTTTTTACATGGGGCATGGTGAAGACATGGTACTATGAGTAGACGTTGTCAAGTGTTGCAGTACACTTGAAGTGTCTACCCAAACCTCTTGGCCTGATCAAAAAAAAAATCATCAGGTTACCTTAGGAACGTTGCAAAGAATTACGACATCTGAGACTCATTCCAGCATCATTCAAATGTGTTTTCTTAATAAGTGGATTAATGACAACAACAAATACAGAATAACACCAATCTTAAGCTTACATTGAAATATTTTATATGCAGTATGGTGAAGACATCTACGAGAGTAGAGGTTATCAAGTGTGAGTGAAATGTAGCAACACACTTGAGATGTCTACAAACTTACAGAACTTGATCAATACTAAAAATCATCAGTTACCTTAGGATCATTTGACTGTAGTTTGAAGTCTGTGACTCCATCCAATTCATTCAAATCTGTTTACTTAATGACCTGATGAGATGACAACAAGAAAAAAATCAGAAAAAAGGACTTTTCTCCTCAAATTGACAATTTTTTACATGAAGTATGGTGAAGATATGCTACTATGAGTAGACGTCATCAAGTGTTAGTAAAATGTAGCAGTACACTTGAAGTGTCTACCCATATTTCTAGACCTTGATCAATATTAAAAATCATCAGGTTACCTTAGGAACGTTTGATGCTAGTTTAAAACCCGTGACTCCGTCCAATTTAATTCAAATCTGTTTTCTTAATGACCTGATCTGCTGAAAACAAGAAAAAAAATCAGAAAAAAGGACTTTTCTCCTCAAATAGACATTTATTTTGCATGCGGTATGGTGAAGACATGCTACCATGAGTAGACGTCATCAAGTGTGAGTGAAATGTAGCAACATACTTGAGATGTCTACCAAACTTCTAGGTCTTGATCAATATTAAAAATCATCAGGTTACCTTAGGACGTTTGATTGTAGTTTGAAGTCTGTGACTCCATCCAGTTTCATTCAAATCTGTTTTCTTAATGACACGATTAGATGACAACATGAGAAACACAGGGAAAAAACAACCGTTATCCTAAAATCGACATTTTTTTACATGGGGCATGGTGAAGACATGGTACTATGAGTAGACGTTGTCAAGTGTTGCAGTACACTTGAAGTGTCTACCCAAACCTCTTGGCCTTGATCAAAAGAAAAATTCACCAGCTTACCTTAGGAACGTTAGAAAGTAGGCTATTTGGACATCTGTGACACCCTCCAGTATCAATAAGATCTGTTTACTTAATAAATTGATTATTTGACAACACAAAAAATACAGAATAACAGCAACCTTAATCTTTAAATGGACAACTTTTTACACTGGAGTATGGTGAAGACATGCTACTATGAGTAGACGTCATCAAGTGTTAGCAAAATGTAGCAGAACACTTGAAGTGTCTACCCAAACATCTGGGCCTTGATCAAAAGAAAAACTCACCAGCTTACCTTAGGAACGTTGCAAAGAATTACGACATCTGAGACTCATTCCAGCATCAAGAAAATGTGTTTTCTTAATAAGTGGATTAATTGACAACACAACAAATACAGAATAACACCAATCTTAAGCTTTACATTGAAATATTTTTATATGCAGTATGGTGAAGACATTCTACGAAGAGTAGAGGTTATCAAGTGTGAGTGAAATGTAGCAACACACTTGAGATGTCTACGAAACTTACAGAACTTGATCAATATTAAAAATCATCAGGTTACCTTAGGATCGTTTGACTGTAGTTTGAAGTCTGTGACTCCATCCAGTTTCATTCAAATCTGTTTACTTAATGACCTGATGAGATGACAACAAGAGAAATACAGGGAAAAAACAACCGTTATCCTAAAATAGACAATTTTGTACATTGGGGTATGGTGAAGACATGCTGCGATGAATAGAGGTTATCAGCTGTGACTGAAATGCAGCAGTACGCATGAGGTGTCAGCCCAAACCTATAAGACTTCATAAAAACTAAAAATCATCAGCTTACTTCAAGAACATTTGATGGTAGTTTAAAACCTGTGACTCCACCCAATTTATTCAAATCTGTTTTCTTAATGACCTGATCTGTTGAAAACAAGAAAAAAAATCTGAAAAAAAGGACTTTTCTCCTCAAATTGACAATTTTTTACATGAAGTATGGTGAAGACATGCTACTATGAGTAGACGTCATCAAGTGTTAGTAAAATGTAGCAGTACACTTGAAGTGTCTACCCATATTTCTAGACCTTGATCAATATTAAAAATCATCAGGTTACCTTAGGAACGTTTGATGCTAGTTTAAAACCCGTGACTCCGTCCAATTTAATTCAAATCTGTTTTCTTAATAACTTGATCTGCTGAAAACAAGAAAAAAAATCAGAAAAAAGGACTTTTCTCCTCAAATAGACATTTATTTTGCATGCGGTATGGTGAAGACATGCTACCATGAGTAGACGTCATCAAGTGTGAGTGAAATGTAGCAACATACTTGAGATGTCTACCAAACTTCTAGGTCTTGATCAATATTAAAAATCATCAGGTTACCTTAGGACGTTTGATTGTAGTTTGAAGTCTGTGACTCCATCCAGTTTCATTCAAATCTGTTTTCTTAATGACACGATTAGATGACAACATGAGAAACACAGGGAAAAAACAACCGTTATCCTAAAATCGACATTTTTTTACATGGGGCATGGTGAAGACATGGTACTATGAGTAGACGTTGTCAAGTGTTGCAGTACACTTGAAGTGTCTACCCAAACCTCTTGGCCTTGATCAAAAGAAAAATTCACCAGCTTACCTTAGGAACGTTAGAAAGTAGGCTATTTGGACATCTGTGACACCCTCCAGTATCAATAAGATCTGTTTACTTAATAAATTGATTATTTGACAACACAAAAAATACAGAATAACAGCAACCTTAATCTTTAAATGGACAGCTTTTTACACTGGAGTATGGTGAAGACATGCTACTATGAGTAGACGTCATCAAGTGTTAGCAAAATGTAGCAGAACACTTGAAGTGTCTACCCAAACATCTGGGCCTTGATCAAAAGAAAAACTCACCAGCTTACCTTAGGAACGTTGCAAAGAATTACGACATCTGAGACTCATTCCAGCATCAAGAAAATGTGTTTTCTTAATAAGTGGATTAATTGACAACACAACAAATACAGAATAACACCAATCTTAAGCTTTACATTGAAAATTTTTATATGCAGTATGGTGAAGACATTCTACGAAGAGTAGAGGTTATCAAGTGTGAGTGAAATGTAGCAACACACTTGAGATGTCTACGAAACTTACAGAACTTGATCAATATTAAAAATCATCAGGTTACCTTAGGATCGTTTGACTGTAGTTTGAAGTCTGTGACTCCATCCAGTTTCATTCAAATCTGTTTACTTAATGACCTGATGAGATGACAACAAGAGAAAAAAATCAGAAAAAAAGGACTTTTCTCCTCAAATTGACAATTTTTTACATGAAGTATGGTGAAGACATGCTACTATGAGTAGACGTCATCAAGTGTTAGTAAAATGTAGCAGTACACTTGAAGTGTCTACCCATATTTCTAGACCTTGATCAATATTAAAAATCATCAGGTTACCTTAGGAACGTTTGATGCTAGTTTAAAACCCGTGACTCCGTCCAATTTAATTCAAATCTGTTTTCTTAATGACCTGATCTGCTGAAAACAAGAAAAAAAATCAGAAAAAAAGGACTTTTCTCCTCAAATAGACATTTATTTTGCATGCGGTATGGTGAAGACATGCTACTATGAGTAGAGGTTATCAAGTGTGAGTGAAATGTAGCAACACACTTGAGATGTCTACGAAACTTATAGAACTTGATCAATATTAAAAATCATCAGGTTACCTTAGGATCGTTTGACTGTAGTTTGAAGTCTGTGACTCCATCCAGTTTCATTCAAATCTGTTTACTTAATGACCTGATGAGATGACAACAAGAGAAATACAGGGAAAAAACAACCGTTATCCTAAAATAGACAATTTTGTACATTGGGGTATGGTGAAGACATGCTGCGATGAATAGAGGTTATCAGCTGTGAATGAAATGCAGCAGTACGCATGAGGTGTCAGCCCAAACCTATAAGACTTCATAAAAAACTAAAAATCATCAGCTTACTTCAAGAACATTTGATGGTAGTTTAAAACCTGTGACTCCGCCCAATTGTATTCAAATCTGCTTTCTTAATGACCTGATCTGTTGAAAACAAGAAAAAAATCTGAAAAAAAGGACTTTTCTCCTCAAATTGACAATTTTTTACATGAGTATGGTGAAGACATGCTACTATGAGTAGACGTCATCAAGTGTTAGTAAAATGTAGCAGTACACTTGAAGTGTCTACCCATATTTCTAGACCTTGATCAATATTAAAAATCATCAGGTTACCTTAGGAACGTTTGATGCTAGTTTAAAACCCGTGACTCCGTCCAATTTAATTCAAATCTGTTTTCTTAATGACCTGATCTGCTGAAAACAAGAAAAAAAATCAGAAAAAAAGGACTTTTCTCCTCAAATAGACATTTATTTTGCATGCGGTATGGTGAAGACATGCTACCATGAGTAGACGTCATCAAGTGTGAGTGAAATGTAGCAACATACTTGAGATGTCTACCAAACTTCTAGGTCTTGATCAATATTAAAAATCATCAGGTTACCTTAGGACGTTTGATTGTAGTTTGAAGTCTGTGACTCCATCCAGTTTCATTCAAATCTGTTTTCTTAATGACACGATTAGATGACAACATGAGAAACACAGGGAAAAAACAACCGTTATCCTAAAATCGACATTTTTTTACATGGGGCATGGTGAAGACATGGTACTATGAGTAGACGTTGTCAAGTGTTGCAGTACACTTGAAGTGTCTACCCAAACCTCTTGGCCTTGATCAAAAGAAAAATTCACCAGCTTACCTTAGGAACGTTAGAAAGTAGGCTATTTGGACATCTGTGACACCCTCCAGTATCAATAAGATCTGTTTACTTAATAAATTGATTATTTGACAACACAAAAAATACAGAATAACAGCAACCTTAATCTTTAAATGGACAACTTTTTACACTGGAGTATGGTGAAGACATGCTACTATGAGTAGACGTCATCAAGTGTTAGCAAAATGTAGCAGAACACTTGAAGTGTCTACCCAAACATCTGGGCCTTGATCAAAAGAAAAACTCACCAGCTTACCTTAGGAACGTTGCAAAGAATTACGACATCTGAGACTCATTCCAGCATCAAGAAAATGTGTTTTCTTAATAAGTGGATTAATTGACAACACAACAAATACAGAATAACACCAATCTTAAGCTTTACATTGAAATATTTTTATATGCAGTATGGTGAAGACATTCTACGAAGAGTAGAGGTTATCAAGTGTGAGTGAAATGTAGCAACACACTTGAGATGTCTACGAAACTTATAGAACTTGATCAATATTAAAAATGATCAGGTTACCTTAGGATCGTTTGACTGTAGTTTGAAGTCTGTGACTCCATCCAGTTTCATTCAAATCTGTTTACTTAATGACCTGATGAGATGACAACAAGAGAAATACAGGGAAAAAAAACCGTTATCCTAAAATAGACAATTTTGTACATTGGGGTATGGTGAAGACATGCTGCGATGAATAGAGGTTATCAGCTGTGACTGAAATGCAGCAGTACGCATGAGGTGTCAGCCCAAACCTATAAGACTTCATAAAAAACTAAAAATCATCAGCTTACTTCAAGAACATTTGATGGTAGTTTAAAACCTGTGACTCCACCCAATTTTATTCAAATCTGTTTTCTTAATGACCTGATCTGTTGAAAACAAGAAAAAAAATCTGAAAAAAAGGACTTTTCTCCTCAAATTGACATTTTTTTACATGGAGTATGGTGAAGACATGCTACTATGAGTAGACGTCATCAAGTGTTAGTAAAATGTAGCAGTACACTTGAAGTGTCTACCCATATTTCTAGACCTTGATCAATATTAAAAATCATCAGGTTACCTTAGGAACGTTTGATGCTAGTTTAAAACCCGTGACTCCGTCCAATTTAATTCAAATCTGTTTTCTTAATGACCTGATCTGCTGAAAACAAGAAAAAAAATCAGAAAAAAGGACTTTTCTCCTCAAATAGACATTTATTTTGCATGCGGTATGGTGAAGACATGCTACCATGAGTAGACGTCATCAAGTGTGAGTGAAATGTAGCAACATACTTGAGATGTCTACCAAACTTCTAGGTCTTGATCAATATTAAAAATCATCAGGTTACCTTAGGACGTTTGATTGTAGTTTGAAGTCTGTGACTCCATCCAGTTTCATTCAAATCTGTTTTCTTAATGACACGATTAGATGACAACATGAGAAACACAGGGAAAAAACAACCGTTATCCTAAAATCGACATTTTTTACATGGGGCATGGTGAAGACATGGTACTATGAGTAGACGTTGTCAAGTGTTGCAGTACACTTGAAGTGTCTACCCAAACCTCTTGGCCTTGATCAAAAGAAAAATTCACCAGCTTACCTTAGGAACGTTAGAAAGTAGGCTATTTGGACATCTGTGACACCCTCCAGTATCAATAAGATCTGTTTACTTAATAAATTGATTATTTGACAACAAAAAATACAGAATAACAGCAACCTTAATCTTTAAATGGACAGCTTTTTACACTGGAGTATGGTGAAGACATGCTACTATGAGTAGACGTCATCAAGTGTTAGCAAAATGTAGCAGAACACTTGAAGTGTCTACCCAAACATCTGGGCCTTGATCAAAAGAAAAACTCACCAGCTTACCTTAGGAACGTTGCAAAGAATTACGACATCTGAGACTCATTCCAGCATCAAGAAAATGTGTTTTCTTAATAAGTGGATTAATTGACAACACAACAAATACAGAATAACACCAATCTTAAGCTTTACATTGAAATATTTTTATATGCAGTATGGTGAAGACATTCTACGAAGAGTAGAGGTTATCAAGTGTGAGTGAAATGTAGCAACACACTTGAGATGTCTACGAAACTTACAGAACTTGATCAATATTAAAAATCATCAGGTTACCTTAGGATCGTTTGACTGTAGTTTGAAGTCTGTGACTCCATCCAGTTTCATTCAAATCTGTTTACTTAATGACCTGATGAGATGACAACAAGACAAAAAATCAGAAAAAAAGGACTTTTCTCCTCAAATTGACAATTTTTTACATGAAGTATGGTGAAGACATGCTACTATGAGTAGACGTCATCAAGTGTTAGTAAAATGTAGCAGTACACTTGAAGTGTCTACCCATATTTCTAGACCTTGATCAAATTAAAAATCATCAGGTTACCTTAGGAACGTTTGATGCTAGTTTAAAACCCGTGACTCCGTCCAATTTAAGAAAATCTGTTTTCTTAATGACCTGATCTGCTGAAAACAAGAAAAAAAATCAGAAAAAAAGGACTTTTCTCCTCAAATAGACATTTATTTTGCATGCGGTATGGTGAAGACATGCTACTATGAGTAGAGGTTATCAAGTGTGAGTGAAATGTAGCAACACACTTGAGATGTCTACGAAACTTATAGAACTTGATCAATATTAAAAATCATCAGGTTACCTTAGGATCGTTTGACTGTAGTTTGAAGTCTGTGACTCCATCCAGTTTCATTCAAATCTGTTTACTTAATGACCTGATGAGATGACAACAAGAGAAATACAGGGAAAAACAACCGTTATCCTAAAATAGACAATTTTGTACATTGGGGTATGGTGAAGACATGCTGCGATGAATAGAGGTTATCAGCTGTGAATGAAATGCAGCAGTACGCATGAGGTGTCAGCCCAAACCTATAAGACTTCATAAAAAACTAAAAATCATCAGCTTACTTCAAGAACATTTGATGGTAGTTTAAAACCTGTGACTCCGCCCAATTGTATTCAAATCTGCTTTCTTAATGACCTGATCTGTTGAAAACAAGAAAAAAAATCTGAAAAAAAGGACTTTTCTCCTCAAATTGACATTTTTTACATGGAGTATGGTGAAGACATGCTACTATGAGTAGACGTCATCAAGTGTTAGTAAAATGTAGCAGTACACTTGAAGTGTCTACCCATATTTCTAGACCTTGATCAATATTAAAAATCATCAGGTTACCTTAGGAACGTTTGATGCTAGTTTAAAACCCGTGACTCCGTCCAATTTAATTCAAATCTGTTTTCTTAATGACCTGATCTGCTGAAAACAAGAAAAAAAATCAGAAAAAAAGGACTTTTCTCCTCAAATAGACATTTATTTTGCATGCGGTATGGTGAAGACATGCTACCATGAGTAGACGTCATCAAGTGTGAGTGAAATGTAGCAACATACTTGAGATGTCTACCAAACTTCTAGGTCTTGATCAATATTAAAAATCATCAGGTTACCTTAGGACGTTTGATTGTAGTTTGAAGTCTGTGACTCCATCCAGTTTCATTCAAATCTGTTTTCTTAATGACACGATTAGATGACAACATGAGAAACACAGGGAAAAAACAACCGTTATCCTAAAATCGACATTTTTTTTACATGGGGCATGGTGAAGACATGGTACTATGAGTAGACGTTGTCAAGTGTTGCAGTACACTTGAAGTGTCTACCCAAACCTCTTGGCCTTGATCAAAAGAAAAATTCACCAGCTTACCTTAGGAACGTTAGAAAGTAGGCTATTTGGACATCTGTGACACCCTCCAGTATCAATAAGATCTGTTTACTTAATAAATTGATTATTTGACAACACAAAAAATACAGAATAACAGCAACCTTAATCTTTAAATGGACACTTTTTACACTGGAGTATGGTGAAGACATGCTACTATGAGTAGACGTCATCAAGTGTTAGCAAAATGTAGCAGAACACTTGAAGTGTCTACCCAAACATCTGGGCCTTGATCAAAAGAAAAACTCACCAGCTTACCTTAGGAACGTTGCAAAGAATTACGACATCTGAGACTCATTCCAGCATCAAGAAAATGTGTTTTCTTAATAAGTGGATTAATTGACAACACAACAAATACAGAATAACACCAATCTTAAGCTTTACATTGAAATATTTTTATATGCAGTATGGTGAAGACATTCTACGAAGAGTAGAGGTTATCAAGTGTGAGTGAAATGTAGCAACACACTTGAGATGTCTACGAAACTTACAGAACTTGATCAATATTAAAAATCATCAGGTTACCTTAGGATCGTTTGACTGTAGTTTGAAGTCTGTGACTCCATCCAGTTTCATTCAAATCTGTTTACTTAATGACCTGATGAGATGACAACAAGAGAAATACAGGGAAAAAAACAACCGTTATCCTAAAATAGACAATTTTGTACATTGGGGTATGGTGAAGACATGCTGCGATGAATAGAGGTTATCAGCTGTGACTGAAATGCAGCAGTACGCATGAGGTGTCAGCCCAAACCTATAAGACTTCATAAAAAACTAAAAATCATCAGCTTACTTCAAGAACATTTGATGGTAGTTTAAAACCTGTGACTCCACCCAATTTTATTCAAATCTGTTTTCTTAATGACCTGATCTGTTGAAAACAAGAAAAAAAATCTGAAAAAAAGGACTTTTCTCCTCAAATTGACATTTTTTTACATGAGTATGGTGAAGACATGCTACTATGAGTAGACGTCATCAAGTGTTAGTAAAATGTAGCAGTACACTTGAAGTGTCTACCCATATTTCTAGACCTTGATCAATATTAAAAATCATCAGGTTACCTTAGGAACGTTTGATGCTAGTTTAAAACCCGTGACTCCGTCCAATTTAATTCAAATCTGTTTTCTTAATGACTGATCTGCTGAAAACAAGAAAAAAATCAGAAAAAAGGACTTTTCTCCTCAAATAGACATTTATTTTGCATGCGGTATGGTGAAGACATGCTACCATGAGTAGACGTCATCAAGTGTGAGTGAAATGTAGCAACATACTTGAGATGTCTACCAAACTTCTAGGTCTTGATCAATATTAAAAATCATCAGGTTACCTTAGGACGTTTGATTGTAGTTTGAAGTCTGTGACTCCATCCAGTTTCATTCAAATCTGTTTTCTTAATGACACGATTAGATGACAACATGAGAAACACAGGGAAAAAACAACCGTTATCCTAAAATCGACATTTTTTTACATGGGGCATGGTGAAGACATGGTACTATGAGTAGACGTTGTCAAGTGTTGCAGTACACTTGAAGTGTCTACCCAAACCTCTTGGCCTTGATCAAAAGAAAAATTCACCAGCTTACCTTAGGAACGTTAGAAAGTAGGCTATTTGGACATCTGTGACACCCTCCAGTATCAATAAGATCTGTTTACTTAATAAATTGATTATTTGACAACACAAAAAATACAGAATAACAGCAACCTTAATCTTTAAATGGACAGCTTTTTACACTGGAGTATGGTGAAGACATGCTACTATGAGTAGACGTCATCAAGTGTTAGCAAAATGTAGCAGAACACTTGAAGTGTCTACCCAAACATCTGGGCCTTGATCAAAAGAAAAACTCACCAGCTTACCTTAGGAACGTTGCAAAGAATTACGACATCTGAGACTCATTCCAGCGTCAAGAAAATGTGTTTTCTTAATAAATTGATTGGTTGACAACACAACAAATACAGAATAACACTAATCTTAAGCTTTACATTGAAATATTTTTATATGCAGTATGGTGAAGACATTCTACGAAGAGTAGAGGTTATCAAGTGTGAGTGAAATGTAGCAACACACTTGAGATGTCTACGAAACTTACAGAACTTGATCAATATTAAAAATCATCAGGTTACCTTAGGATCGTTTGACTGTAGTTTGAAGTCTGTGACTCCATCCAGTTTCATTCAAATCTGTTTACTTAATGACCTGATGAGATGACAACAAGAGAAATACAGGGAAAAAACAACCGTTATCCTAAAATAGACAATTTTGTACATTGGGGTATGGTGAAGACATGCTGCGATGAATAGAGGTTATCAGCTGTGACTGAAATGCAGCAGTACGCATGAGTGTCAGCCCAAACCTATAAGACTTCATAAAAAACTAAAAATCATCAGCTTACTTCAAGAACATTTGATGGTAGTTTAAAACCTGTGACTCCACCCAATTTTATTCAAATCTGTTTTCTTAATGACCTGATCTGTTGAAAACAAGAAAAAAAATCTGAAAAAAAGGACTTTTCTCCTCAAATTGACAATTTTTTACATGAAGTATGGTGAAGACATGCTACTATGAGTAGACGTCATCAAGTGTTAGTAAAATGTAGCAGTACACTTGAAGTGTCTACCCATATTTCTAGACCTTGATCAATATTAAAAATCATCAGGTTACCTTAGGAACGTTTGATGCTAGTTTAAAACCCGTGACTCCGTCCAATTTAATTCAAATCTGTTTTCTTAATACTGATCTGCTGAAAACAAGAAAAAAATCAGAAAAAAAGGACTTTTCTCCTCAAATAGACATTTATTTTGCATGCGGTATGGTGAAGACATGCTACCATGAGTAGACGTCATCAAGTGTGAGTGAAATGTAGCAACATACTTGAGATGTCTACCAAACTTCTAGGTCTTGATCAATATTAAAAATCATCAGGTTACCTTAGGACGTTTGATTGTAGTTTGAAGTCTGTGACTCCATCCAGTTTCATTCAAATCTGTTTTCTTAATGACACGATTAGATGACAACATGAGAAACACAGGGAAAAAACAACCGTTATCCTAAAATCGACATTTTTTTACATGGGGCATGGTGAAGACATGGTACTATGAGTAGACGTTGTCAAGTGTTGCAGTACACTTGAAGTGTCTACCCAAACCTCTTGGCCTTGATCAAAAGAAAAATTCACCAGCTTACCTTAGGAACGTTAGAAAGTAGGCTATTTGGACATCTGTGACACCCTCCAGTATCAATAAGATCTGTTTACTTAATAAATTGATTATTTGACAACACAAAAAATACAGAATAACAGCAACCTTAATCTTTAAATGGACAACTTTTTACACTGGAGTATGGTGAAGACATGCTACTATGAGTAGACGTCATCAAGTGTTAGCAAAATGTAGCAGAACACTTGAAGTGTCTACCCAAACATCTGGGCCTTGATCAAAAGAAAAACTCACCAGCTTACCTTAGGAACGTTGCAAAGAATTACGACATCTGAGACTCATTCCAGCATCAAGAAAATGTGTTTTCTTAATAAGTGGATTAATTGACAACACAACAAATACAGAATAACACCAATCTTAAGCTTTACATTGAAATATTTTTATATGCAGTATGGTGAAGACATTCTACGAAGAGTAGAGGTTATCAAGTGTGAGTGAAATGTAGCAACACACTTGAGATGTCTACGAAACTTACAGAACTTGATCAATATTAAAAATCATCAGGTTACCTTAGGATCGTTTGACTGTAGTTTGAAGTCTGTGACTCCATCCAGTTTCATTCAAATCTGTTTACTTAATGACCTGATGAGATGACAACAAGAGAAAAAAATCAGAAAAAAAGGACTTTTCTCCTCAAATTGACAATTTTTACATGAAGTATGGTGAAGACATGCTACTATGAGTAGACGTCATCAAGTGTTAGTAAAATGTAGCAGTACACTTGAAGTGTCTACCCATATTTCTAGACCTTGATCAATATTAAAAATCATCAGGTTACCTTAGGAACGTTTGATGCTAGTTTAAAACCCGTGACTCCGTCCAATTTAATTCAAATCTGTTTTCTTAATGACCTGATCTGCTGAAAACAAGAAAAAAATCAGAAAAAAGGACTTTTCTCCTCAAATAGACATTTATTTTGCATGCGGTATGGTGAAGACATGCTACTATGAGTAGAGGTTATCAAGTGTGAGTGAAATGTAGCAACATACTTGAGATGTCTACCAAACTTCTAGGTCTTGATCAATATTAAAAATCATCAGGTTACCTTAGGACGTTTGATTGTAGTTTGAAGTCTGTGACTCCATCCAGTTTCATTCAAATCTGTTTTCTTAATGACACGATTAGATGACAACATGAGAAACACAGGGAAAAAACAACCGTTATCCTAAAATCGACATTTTTTTACATGGGGCATGGTGAAGACATGGTACTATGAGTAGACGTTGTCAAGTGTTGCAGTACACTTGAAGTGTCTACCCAAACCTCTTGGCCTTGATCAAAAGAAAAATTCACCAGCTTACCTTAGGAACGTTAGAAAGTAGGCTATTTGGACATCTGTGACACCCTCCAGTATCAATAAGATCTGTTTACTTAATAAATTGATTATTTGACAACACAAAAAATACAGAATAACAGCAACCTTAATCTTTAAATGGACAGCTTTTTACACTGGAGTATGGTGAAGACATGCTACTATGAGTAGACGTCATCAAGTGTTAGCAAAATGTAGCAGAACACTTGAAGTGTCTACCCAAACATCTGGGCCTTGATCAAAAGAAAAACTCACCAGCTTACCTTAGGAACGTTGCAAAGAATTACGACATCTGAGACTCATTCCAGCATCAAGAAAATGTGTTTTCTTAATAAGTGGATTAATTGACAACACAACAAATACAGAATAACACCAATCTTAAGCTTTACATTGAAATATTTTTATATGCAGTATGGTGAAGACATTCTACGAAGAGTAGAGGTTATCAAGTGTGAGTGAAATGTAGCAACACACTTGAGATGTCTACGAAACTTACAGAACTTGATCAATATTAAAAATCATCAGGTTACCTTAGGATCGTTTGACTGTAGTTTGAAGTCTGTGACTCCATCCAGTTTCATTCAAATCTGTTTACTTAATGACCTGATGAGATGACAACAAAGAAAAAATCAGAAAAAAAGGACTTTCTCCTCAAATTGACAATTTTTTACATGAAGTATGGTGAAGACATGCTACTATGAGTAGACGTCATCAAGTGTTAGTAAAATGTAGCAGTACACTTGAAGTGTCTACCCATATTTCTAGACCTTGATCAATATTAAAAATCATCAGGTTACCTTAGGAACGTTTGATGCTAGTTTAAAACCCGTGACTCCGTCCAATTTAATTCAAATCTGTTTTCTTAATGACCTGATCTGCTGAAAACAAGAAAAAAAATCAGAAAAAAAGGACTTTTCTCCTCAAATAGACATTTATTTGCATGCGGTATGGTGAAGACATGCTACTATGAGTAGAGGTTATCAAGTGTGAGTGAAATGTAGCAACACACTTGAGATGTCTACCAAACTTATAGAACTTGATCAATATTAAAAATCATCAGGTTACCTTAGGATCGTTTGACTGTAGTTTGAAGTCTGTGACTCCATCCAGTTTCATTCAAATCTGTTTTCTTAATGACACGATTAGATGACAACATGAGAAACACAGGGATAAAACAACCGTTATCCTAAAATAGACAATTTTGTACATTGGGGTATGGTGAAGACATGCTGCGATGAATAGAGGTTATCAGCTGTGAATGAAATGCAGCAGTACGCATGAGGTGTCAGCCCAAACCTATAAGACTTCATAAAAAACTAAAAATCATCAGCTTACTTCAAGAACATTTGATGGTAGTTTAAAACCTGTGACTCCACCCAGTTTCATTCAAATCTGTTTACTTAATGACCTGATGAGATGACAACAAGAAAAAAATTAGAAAAAAAGGACTTTTCTCCTCAAATTGACAATTTTTTATGAGTATGGTGAAGACATGCTACTATGAGTAGACGTCATCAAGTGTTAGTAAAATGTAGCAGTACACTTGAAGTGTCTACCCATATTCTAGACCTTGATCATATTAAAAATCATCAGGTTACCTTAGGAACGTTTGATGCTAGTTTAAAACCCGTGACTCCGTCCAATTTAATTCAAATCTGTTTTCTTAATGACCTGATCTGCTGAAAACAAGAAAAAAATCAGAAAAAAAGGACTTTTCCTCAAATAGACATTTATTTTGCATGCGGTATGGTGAAGACATGCTACCATGAGTAGACGTCATCAAGTGTGAGTGAAATGTAGCAACATACTTGAGATGTCTACCAAACTTCTAGGTCTTGATCAATATTAAAAATCATCAGGTTACCTTAGGACGTTTGATTGTAGTTTGAAGTCTGTGACTCCATCCAGTTTCATTCAAATCTGTTTTCTTAATGACACGATTAGATGACAACATGAGAAACACAGGGAAAAAACAACCGTTATCCTAAAATCGACATTTTTTTACATGGGGCATGGTGAAGACATGGTACTATGAGTAGACGTTGTCAAGTGTTGCAGTACACTTGAAGTGTCTACCCAAACCTCTTGGCCTTGATCAAAAGAAAAATTCACCAGCTTACCTTAGGAACGTTAGAAAGTAGGCTATTTGGACATCTGTGACACCCTCCAGTATCAATAAGATCTGTTTACTTAATAAATTGATTATTTGACAACACAAAAATACAGAATAACAGCAACCTTAATCTTTAAATGGACAACTTTTTACACTGGAGTATGGTGAAGACATGCTACTATGAGTAGACGTCATCAAGTGTTAGCAAATGTAGCAGAACACTTGAAGTGTCTACCCAAACATCTGGGCCTTGATCAAAAGAAAAACTCACCAGCTTACCTTAGGAACGTTGCAAAGAATTACGACATCTGAGACTCATTCCAGCATCAAGAAAATGTGTTTTCTTAATAAGTGGATTAATTGACAACACAACAAATACAGAATAACACCAATCTTAAGCTTTACATTGAAATATTTTTATATGCAGTATGGTGAAGACATTCTACGAAGAGTAGAGGTTATCAAGTGTGAGTGAAATGTAGCAACACACTTGAGATGTCTACGAAACTTATAGAACTTGATCAATATTAAAAATGATCAGGTTACCTTAGGATCGTTTGACTGTAGTTTGAAGTCTGTGACTCCATCCAGTTTCATTCAAATCTGTTTTCTTAATGACCTGATCTGTTGAAAACAAGAAAAAAAATCTGAAAAAAAGGACTTTTCTCCTCAAATTGACAATTTTTTACATGAAGTATGGTGAAGACATGCTACTATGAGTAGACGTCATCAAGTGTTAGTAAAATGTAGCAGTACACTTGAAGTGTCTACCCATATTTCTAGACCTTGATCAATATTAAAAATCATCAGGTTACCTTAGGAACGTTTGATGCTAGTTTAAAACCCGTGACTCCGTCCAATTTAATTCAAATCTGTTTTCTTAATGACCTGATCTGTTGAAAACAAGAAAAAAAATCTGAAAAAAAGGACTTTTCTCCTCAAATTGACATTTTTTTACATGGAGTATGGTGAAGACATGCTACTATGAGTAGACGTCATCAAGTGTTAGTAAAATGTAGCAGTACACTTGAAGTGTCTACCCATATTTCTAGACCTTGATCAATATTAAAAATCATCAGGTTACCTTAGGAACGTTTGATGCTAGTTTAAAACCCGTGACTCTGTCCAATTTAATTCAAATCTGTTTTCTTAATGACCTGATCTGCTGAAAACAAGAAAAAAAATCAGAAAAAAAGGACTTTTCTCCTCTAATAGACATTTACTTTGCATGCGGTATGGTGAAGACATGCTACCATGAGTAGACGTCATCAAGTGTGAGTGAAATGTAGCAACATACTTGAGATGTCTACCAAACTTCTAGGTCTTGATCAATATTAAAAATCATCAGGTTACCTTAGGACGTTTGATTGTAGTTTGAAGTCTGTGACTCCATCCAGTTTCATTCAAATCTGTTTTCTTAATGACACGATTAGACGACAACATGAGAAACACAGGGAAAAAACAACCGTTATCCTAAAATCGACATTTTTTTACATGGGGCATGGTGAAGACATGGTACTATGAGTAGACGTTGTCAAGTGTTGCAGTACACTTGAAGTGTCTACCCAAACCTCTTGGCCTTGATCAAAAGAAAAATTCACCAGCTTACCTTAGGAACGTTAGAAAGTAGGCTATTTGGACATCTGTGACACCCTCCAGTATCAATAAGATCTGTTTACTTAATAAATTGATTATTTGACAACACAAAAAATACAGAATAACAGCAACCTTAATCTTTAAATGGACAGCTTTTTACACTGGAGTATGGTGAAGACATGCTGCGATCAGCAGCACGCTTGAAGTGTTTGCCCAAACTCTCTAGCTCTGCATCAAATAAAAAAAAAATTTACTTACTTTAGGATAGTTGGAAAGTATTTGGAAATCGGTGACCCGGTTTATTGAAACCCATCTGCTAAATGCAAGCACCTCATCTCTTCGTGTTGTCTGGTCTAACTGAATCAGGTACTGAACAGACTGCATTAAAGGCTCACCTAACATTCCAGAACATGACACGTGATGACACAGACTGACTACATCAAAGAACATCAAAGAACATCAAAGAACATTCTAAATGACCCTGTTCAGTGGGGCATCACTTTGATTAGGAGGGTTCTTTCATGATGTCATCGGGGCATATGATCCAACATGGCAGAAACAACAAGCAAATAGCTAGGTAGCTAGTTAGCTAGCTAGGTAGGTTTGTTGTCACATTATAACAAGTTATAGAGTGAAATTGAGTTTTGAGCTCTTCCCAGAAGGCAGCATGGTGAACAGGCTGTGGCTGGATGGGTACTGTCCTTTAGTATCCTTTGGGCTCTATGTAGGCAACTCACCTCACCGATATCACTGATGCTCAGGTAGATGGGTACCACTGATCTTCTCAGCTCCACTGCAGAGCCCTCCGGTCCTGGACCGTACACATCCCATGCCATTTAGTGATGTTTCTAGTCAAGTGCTTTCTATTGCTCCTCTGTAAAAGCTGACAAGAACTTGGCATGGGAATTTGGCCTTCTTTAGCTTCCTCAAGAAATACAGTAGTTTCTGTGCTTTCTTCACCAGCGTGGAGATGTGAGATGACCATGTCAGGTTCTCTGTGATGCTGATTTCCAGGAACCTGAAACTGTTCACCTCAGCTCCACTGATGTAGACAGGAGTGTGTATCTTTATCTCAGCTCATTATCAGCTCTTTGGTTTTGCTGACGTTGAGTAGTAGGTTGTTCTCTGAGCACTCTACAAGATTATGAATTTCCTCCCGATATGAAGTCTCATCGTTGTTTGAAATTCGGCTGATAATGGTGGCGTCGTCCTCAAACTTCATAACAGAGTTCTCTCCATGTCGGGGGATGCAGTCGTGGGTGTACAGCGTGAACGGGGGGGGTCTGAGCACACATGGTGAGATAGAAGACAACACATGATTGTAAATGCATATTATAATATACCATTTATAAAGAATCATACTTACAATGTTATTTTACTTATTTCTGTCTCTTCTCTCAGGGTCTGCATCCCTTCTTTCTTTACTCTCACTTTTCCTTCTCTTAATCTCTACATCCCTTCTTTCCTCAATCTTTGAAACGGATGTAAGTAGCAGACATGGCACTGTTAATTTTATATTTTTTCAAAATAATATTTTACCGCTTCAAAATAAGAAATAATACTGTTGAAGAGTTAGTATTTATTATACCTGTTTCACTTTTAAAAGTATAGGTTCGATCAGCAGCTAGGACTTTACTATTTACAGGTTTGGGGATGATGCACAAAGATGGTGGGAATAGCATCTGCTTGACCTTTTTGGGCCTGACAAACTGGTCTGCCTCAAAATGTGCCTGTGAAGTGACTTGAGCTTATTTTCCACACAACAATTCAGGTTTATCTATCCACATTAATACATCATAGTGGCTGAATGCACCATATTGGTGAACACTCAATACTGGATATGTTTACACTAAATTACATAATTACTTTGTACAAATTCATATCATATCATCATCAAAGTTCCTGTGTGTGAGAACCGTTATTACCGTTACTGCTAGTTGTTAATGAAGTTCTAAAACTTAACAATCCATAACTTCCACATTCAAACCTGTGTAGCCTTTTCTAAGAAAGGTTGAATTGAGGGCAACTGGACTTCTTCTGAAATGTCATCTAAAACCAGTCCAGTTGCTCTCGATTCAACTTTTCTAGGATAAACATGACCTGAAAATCTTTTCAGATGTGTAGGTTTGTCTAACCCTTTCTTTCTCTTGTTCTCCCTCCCTCAGCACAAGAATCATAGGGGGTTCAGTGGAGCCTGAAGATTATCTGCAGTAATGTGTTTAATAAACCAAAGCCAGTGTTGTGTTCTTTCTTTGTGGAAAAATTACCTCACATATTTTTTTGTTGTTAGCCTCTTTACTGATTGTAAGGTTGCTCCGGTTGACCTGAGTCAACCATTTTCCCTCCTCTCCATATCAGCTGGGAAACCATACATTCGTACTCCTTTTTCTGACCAACTGCAGCATCCCCACGCAACACAATAAACCGTGCTGTAAACTATTGTAAGGCAGTACACAGACACAAACCACTTAACATGCTGTTTTCTTAGTTTATTGGACATTTATTAAATTAATAGCCTACGTGACAGTCATTGATAGTCATCTGTCTGTTCTATCTAAAGTCATAAAGATTACATTAGTCATTAAGATCAATTAACCCTGTTACCATGGGATTACTATAAGGAATGTTAGAAAGTTAAATCGATCTGAATTTCGAAACATTGTGTTTTCAAGAGGAACACATTTTTCAGAGTAAAGTTAGCCGAAAAAATGTCAACAAGGTAGGTGATTGTAGCTGTTATTGTCAAAAATATGTCCTTCTTTCTCAAAAATACATTTATATTTATTATATACATTTATATTTATATATATTTATATTAATAAGTGTTAATATGAAATAAAACAAGTACTCACATCTAAAATGAAGAGGTGTGTCTCACTTGCCTGGTGTAGTACTACAATTCAGCATTGGTTTGGAGTCCCTGAATCAAATGACATGGAAGCTATTGAAAAAAAAAGCATTATTTCCATAAATTGTTAATTAATATTAATATAAATTCGGATATGCACTCAAATATAATATAAAGAGGTGTATCTCATTTGCACAGTGTAGCTCTACAGTTCGGCATTGTTGTCTTTGTATGACATGACATGGAAGCTATTGAAATAAATGATGATTTTCCCATAACACTGTTTTAACAATTGTAATTTATTTATGACCCCTAAGCTGACCCCCGAGTTATGTTGTAAATTCTCTCCGTGGTGCAACTGTTTTTATTTCATTAATGCATAAATCCCATTAGCAATAATTTACACTAGGCTAATAACTAGACTAAGTTTGAACACACAGCGGCTGTGACAGGCTGCCCAGCACCTCCTCTGTAAGTTACTGAAGTTACTAACCATTTCACAAAGAGGACCAGTGACATAACAAACCAGGATTCACTTCGGGACTGAAGGACAGGGATGGGTTGAAGCAGACTTAAAACTTGGAACATGTAAGTTGTGGACTTTATATGCAGTTTTACTGTAATACAGTATGTTAGCTACTGAACTTGCCGCTAGCATGCTGCGTGGCTAATGTGGCTAGCGTCTGTTCCACACACTGAGCAGTGAAACGTTATTTCATACTGAGAGACAGTCTGGAGGAATTGTGTGAATGTTAAGCCTTGTATGAAGTAAATTAAACAAAGCTGTCTGCAGCCTTAAAATTTGGCACTTTGTTGTAAACTCAGCTGCTGGCTGAGACAGTTAAACATCACTCAGTATTATGATGTAAACATTAATGTTGCTGCTCTAGACACAGCATAGCTGTATTTAAAATATTAAATTCTAATCCTTTAAATAATTTTAAAACAACCAGGTAGTTAATATGCACACTTCAATATATGCTTATTTATTGCAAGTCAGTTCTCAGTCTTCATTCCGTGCAGGCTTACTTCATGCCCGTTAGGTCTGGTCTTACCAAATAACTGTCACCACATAATAAAGTATCGATAGTGGTATGATTAAATAATAGGATCGTTAAGCAGTCTCAATAAGGGCAGGGCTCTACGCTAACCTGTTTCCCAAGGAGCACATGTGCAGCAAAAAGTGTAACAGAGTTTAACAAACTATGGTATGAAACCATCGAAGGACTATGGAATTGAAGACCTCGGCATCGGCCTTAATATTTTGTTAAAGCTTTTTAAAATATTGAAATAGATGTTTTGAAAATTTGACACATTGAAAACACCTTTTAAAATACTGATCACTCTTCACAAAAACTTTACTGTGATTGGTGCTTGTGTAGTTTAGAACCAGGGACGGATTCATGATACACCAGCAGCACACAACCCTGACCTAATGTAAACAAGACTACTGAACAATATTACAATAACTTCAGTAAAACAGAACGAGGGGAACGTGGGGAGGGGGATGAAGGGGCCGAGAGAAGAGGGATGAAGGGGTTGAGAGAAGAGGGATGAAGGGGTTGAGAGAAGAGGGATGAAGGGGGAGAGGGGAGAGGGATGAAGGGGCCGAGAGAAGAGGGATGAAGGGGTTGAGAGAAGAGGGATGAAGGGGGAGAGGGGAGAGGGATGAAGGGGGAGAGGGGAGAGGGATGAAGGGGCCGAGAGAAGAGGGATGAAGGGGTTGAGAGAAGAGGGATGAAGGGGGAGAGGGGAGAGGGATGAAGGGGTCGAGGGGAGAGGGATGAAGGGGGTTGTTTAGGGTTTGGTGGCCGGAGCAGCTAGGAACCCGGGGGCCGAGACTCAGGGTGGGGGCCCGTCTCGATAAGCGGCTTGCTTATAACCCCCCTGTGGTTCCTGTTGTATAAAAAGACAAGATGATTACTTGGCAGAATTATGGATTTTAGTGTGCATGTCTTTCATGGTGGGAGGAAACCGGAGCACCCGGGGGAAATCCACACAAACACGGGGAGAACATGCAAACTCTGCACAGAAAGGCCTGGGCTGAGCGAGGTCTAAACCCAGAACCTTCTTGCTGTGAGGACGCAGTGCTGTGCACTGGGCCACCATGCTGCCCATTTAAAATAGGTGAAAAAACAGGGTTTGGGTGGGAGGGGTGTGAGAACTGAGAAGCGGGAGAGGAAAGGGGTTAGACAGGCTTATATACGTGAGTGCATGTGATTGGATTAGAGAGGCACAGGTGGATAAAATGATTGAAGCTCAGGTGGTTGATTGGAGGAATTGGATGAGGCGCAGGTGGTCGAATTAGTGAGAGAGGCGTGGTCCTGTTCCTGAACTTTAGTTATATAACTCCATTTAGATAAAAAAATTCTATCTATAACACATCAAGGGCCAGCTGATCAAGAACAACAACCAGCCCCGCAAGAGACAGAGGTGAGGACAGACAGGACAGAGGTGGGGACTGACAGGTGAAGACAGTCATATGAGGACAGAAGTGAAGACAAACGGATAAGGACAGATAGGACAGATGTAAGGACTGATAAGTGAGGACGGTCTCTGGGTACCTGTTGAACAGCGGTGGTGTCTCCTTCCTCAGTCTTTGCAGTTCCAGCAGTAAACTGGCTCAGCTTACCCTGGAACAGATCCTGGAGCTCATGGACAACCTGAGGCTGAACCTGAGCAACACCAAGTACAGCTGTCAGTACACACACAGGCTAATTGATCGCTTCAGGAGGTATTGATAACTGATAGCTGATTGATTGTATCTGCCTCAGCGACCTGTTCATCCGGGCCGAGGAGTACGAGGACTCCAAGACCAAGCCTCCCAAGTCCTGCCGTAAGGCTCCAGCCTCCTCGCCTCGCTTCCACCCAACAACGAGGAGAGCGCCTCCAGCAGCGCCTCAGTACGTAGCCCCACCTCCACCTGCTCCTCTGTGTGAGGACAACCTGAATCTGCGTCTCATTCTTTGATTGGTCCGTTTCAAAACCACATGGAAATTTGATATTTAATGTGTCTGATTTGTGAAACCAGGAAGCAGCTTTGTGTCTTCACCAAGAAGGAACCTCCAGGTTTGAAAAGTGAAGCCTCAAACCTGCATTCTCTCTAACAGCCAGCACTGGGGCGACTCCACTGGATCGTATATGGTGTCAGTCGCTAGTCTTCTTCACCACAGCATGATGTTCATTTAGTAAACGATGGTCCCATTTAGAGGAAAATAGACCTGAAAGCAGGTGAGGCTTTAGGCCAGGGCTACCTTGAGATTGACAAGTCGCTATGTGTGACCCAAATATGGTACCCCGTGGATGTTCAGTCTGTTTTCAGGACGGAGCTGAACACCTCTCTTCTCTCAGCTGGACAGGTAGGCTGGAATAAAACACAGCTGCTCGTTAATTTCTATAATTTGAACTAAAAGACCTTCAGTTAGCTTCCTGCTCAGCTTCCTATCTGAAGGGGAGATGTCTGTTAACCTGCTTCACTTCTCTAGTTGGGAACAGACTTTTGTTAGTCTGGAGAAGCTGAAGCATTTATTACCTGACACACTGACACCGTATTTGTAGTGCCAGAGTATTTTCCTCCTCTGAGATTCACTGTCACTTTCTGTCACTCGGACAATCAAACACACTTAAGACCTCCAGATTAAAGGAGCTGCTCTGATAACAGCACCTGTCAGGTAGACGTCCTGCAGGGTTTCGGCAGGGTCTTAAAGTCTAAAATTTCAAAATATAAGGCCTTAAAAAGTCTTAATTCGCTGAAGTTTGTGTTCCAGGTCTTAATTAATTTTAAACGGGTATTTATTTTCCAACATCCATGTAACGCTACCTGTAATGCTCATTGAAATGGCCCCGCAGCGCTCAAGAATCTTTTTTCCTCCCGTGGTGGTGTAGTTCTTTCTGTTGCTAGTCCAAATCGGTCCGAATTTACCAATTGGCAGCTTTCGTGTTATTGCCGCAAGTCTTTCGGATTGTACCACAGATATAAAACATATTTGAAGCCTACTGTTGCTGCTTAATGAATGAACGCCGCTGTCCCTGTCTGTGAAGGTTCTCAGTCATCCAGGTCATAGTTATCCAATGAAAGCTGAGGTCAAGGGCAACTGGACTTGGTAGAAGAAACTAGAAGATGTTTTGTCCCTCATCCAAGAGACTTCTTCAGTTCTGACTGAGTGGTAGGGAAACTCAGCTATTTAACCTCTTGGATCGTAGCTAGGATCATCGATACCACTGGTTCGTTAGTGCTCCTGGCTGTGGTAACGACAGTCATCATGGTCGTTAGAGCCACCCATGGCCAAGTCTGCATGCGGAAAAGACGTGTGTCACGGGGCAGCCGATAGTTCTGAACACTGAATAGTTCTGAAAACATCATGATTTATCATTGTCAGGTCTCTTGGGGAAAACTGCAATTAAGATATATTGTTACATAATTAAGTTTCTTAAGAAACTGATTTAGATAAAATAATTTTTCTGTTTTATTTATTTTACTGCTTAATCTCTCGTTCCACACTCCAGTCCAGTGCAGCTTCTAAGTGCAGCTAGCTAACCTGAGCAACACTTCACTGGCTAAGTTACCATAAAGTTAACGTTACTCACTGTCTGTTTGCCAACATTTACTTTAAATGTCAAGTTATAAGTGTAAGTTGATTCGTTGGCATAACGAGTTCATATGTTTTTCTGTTGAAGAGCTGACATATGAAACCATCGGAGACTGACTTTAATGAGCGAGCAAGCCAGTTATCCACAAAGGATCCAAATATCAACGAGGTATGTCCCTGTCAGAAACAGCTCTCTGTGTTGAATCAGTGCCTCTGAACAGCAAAAACGGAATATTTTAACCTTCATGAAGGTAGGATTATTGCAGGACTGCATTAGTTTTAGCTCGGTGTACCTAATAAACTGGCAGCTGTGTCTGCTTATAGGCCTCATAGACATAGACATAAACGTGCCAAACTCGTATATTTAAAAGTAAGTTAGTGGAGTGCAAATACCATATTCACCCAACAATAACCAGGACAAACTTTCTTCCACATTGATGCAAATATGAATATAGTGACATGAGACATACAAATAATTTGAGCTACGGAGGCATTTACACATCTTTCAGCTGCTGGTCTTACTGTGTTGAATGCTCTTAGTGGCCTTAATAGGTGCACCTTTACAATGTAATCCAGTTCAATACAACAGCTGTGCCATTATTTAAATAAATTTACACATATGAGCATAAATGTGTAAATTTAATTGAATGTTTAATACTGAGGTTAAAATTAAAGGGTGTTTTACTGATCTACATTGTGTTGGATATGAGGATTTTTTTTTGTCCTCCCTATTTACATACTGTACATTACAGGGCCAGAATATCAGAAACTCCTCTAAATAAAATGCAGCTCAGTACAACACCAACATCACCAATTATGAGTCATAAAACCTCAGTGATAAAACATGTAAGTGAATTAACACTTCTATGTATGTCTGTGTAAATAAATCCTGAACAGTACAGGCATCATAAAAGCAGAATTCATGGCTGAGCTGGTGTATTTATTACATTAGATTGTATAGGTGTACCTAATAAAGTGACCACTGCAGACACAAGGTTTTCCCTGTTGCTCTTCTGGGATGTGTGGTTGAGTGTGGTCACCCCATAGACTGTATGGGTCACCCAAACCACTGTGCTAGCTTGCCACCTAAACTACAACAAATCTCAACAGTGATGACCAACAAATGCATACATTATAATTTGAGAAAAGTCTGCACATTTAAATCTTGTAGATTGAAATGCTGCCTTAAAATACAGAGAATTAACATAGAATTATTTGAGCCTAAAAGTGTGTTTACCTTGCTGCGATTGATTTGGCTTTTTACCTGGATGTGTACACACTTGATCCCTCTTCTGGTATTTAATATTTGGTCATTAAATTCAAAGAATTTGCAACAAAGTAGTAGTACTAAATATGCCCATTTTATTAAGGTGTAAAGCAACTTGTCTTACAACTTTTAGTCCACTGAAATAACATGAAAAAAAGTTTATAGAACCAAATAACTGAAATCATGCCAATGTCCAGATACAACTGGACCTAACTGTGTACTCTCACTCCTGTAAGCTCAACCTCATGAAATTATTTGGGAAACATTGGCTTTCCATGTATATTATAATTATTTACATTATAATATTAAAATCCACGTCTTAAATGTATCAACGTGTATTAACACTGTTTCATCTTTCTTCTCCCTGTTCTTTCCAGCAGCACCAGGCTCATGTCTCCTCAAGACCTGGTCTCATCTGGGGCCTATGACCTGGTCTGCTTCTGACAGTGGAGTGTCCTCAACAAAAACAACCTCAGTGACCCTCTCCCACTAGATAATCTATATAAGGTAGTGTTTTTTTGAATGTAATTGGTTGCCTTATATATTTTGCACTATTGACCAAACTTCTCTCTTCACTTAAACTGAGCAGCTGAAGTTATTTATTGATATTCAGTTGTTGGGGATGTTTATGTGAATGTGTCTAAACACAACAGTACATTAGGTCATGTGATATACAGTAGACTAATTATATATATTCTGCATATACAGTACATTCTATGCATGTATTTGTGTGTTCTGAGGTATTGTTTGGCCTGTGTTTCGGGAAGGATAAAGGGGTAACGTTACACTAGCCAATTAAAAGAAAATTACCAAGCAGTAATTATATGGATTGTATTTAGGAACAGAGTAATTCACTCAGTAGCCTAACCATCTCTGCAGTTGCATTTCAACAGGTAACACTGTTAATGCTGTCTCACTACTGGAAGTACAGTTAACGTAGTAATCAATGCACATTATACGAAAAGTGCTGCAAATATAGTCTGCTGTTAATGTGTTGTAACGTCATACCTCTTCCCTCCAAAATTAAACAAAACGGATAATACTGCTTCCCCAACTCCCCAGAAGAAATGGTATCATATATAAGGATAGTAATCAGAACACATTATTTTTAATATTTATCCAAAAACTGCTGCAAATATAGTCACTGCTGGTAACCAATCATAAGAGAGTCAGTGCCTTCCTTGGTTTTCGCCCCCAAATTGTCAAAAGTCATGTAGACTCGAGCGAGCAGAAATCCACTCCGCAAGGAGAATTCTACTGTGCAAGCAGAGTTATCCTTTGAGAGCATGCCAGGCGTCCGCTCGCAGCTACCTGTACAACTCTCGGTTGTTGAATTTGTGCACGAGTACTTTATCGTGCGAGCTTGAAGGGTAATTTTTGCGCGTGTGGAGTAACATAATTTGCTCACGAGCATGTTTTACACACTCGCAACTTATGACCAAAAATAAACACCATATGAAATGCTTGTAATAATACAGAAGGGAGGTGGTTCTCATGTTGCCTATTATTTATGTAAATTTCTACAAATGTATAAAGCAGTAAATTAAGACACAAAAGGCAAACATGAACAGTCCTATCTGTAATGATTCTGAGGTCACGTGTTTTCCTGCTATTATAAGATGGTGAGGCTCAAACTACTTGGTGCTGCGCAATGAATGTAAAATCATTGTGGAGAGCATAAAAACTAACCAAATGAATTTCCCCAGATCTAACGGTGATAATTAAAACACTGTAGACTTATTTAGCAAGTTTAGCTTTTGGGGTGTACTTTATTATTGTCTCCCTGTCTGCTCCCCTGAGTTTATCCATCACCAGTAGGCTAAGTTTTATAAAGTCACGAAAAGACACAGAACTCTTTTTGTTTTTTTTTTTGTTTTTTTTCCACCAGTGATGCATTTTACACGTCAGCAGGTCCACCGCATGCCAGCTTGTTAAATACGTAGCATCGTCCGATGCCAATTTTGTAGACATCACTCTACCCTAAAGTCGTGACATAGGTTTTAAATTTAATTCATAATGGTCTTAAAAAGGTCTTAAAAGTCTTAAATTTGAGCAGGTGAAACCTGCAGAAACGCTGACATTGTTCCGTTACCTCGTCTACCTGACTTAAAAATTTGCATATTGAGTGACTTATTTTAAACAATCTTTAGTAGCCATCTTTATTTGCTTATGATTCCATAAAACTACACATTTAAAGCCTTTTATATTATTTAAGTAAAAGTGCTGTTGATGGAATAAAATTATGCATAGTCGCTTTTTCCACAAAACACAGTAAAGTAAGTAGTAAAAGGAAATTTTATTTAGCTCAAGATTCAGGTTATCACTTAACACCAAAAAATCTCATTAACAATCTGGAAATAGAGAATGTTCTTGAAATTAAATGTTTTTGAAAAATATATTATATTTAAGTTAAGGTTTACTCAAAAATTATTACCACTACTACAAAAGATTGAGGTAATCAGTTTCCACAAATATTTTGAGTATTCTGAACTTATATGGGTTTACAGTGTACTTTCCAAGGTCAAGCAGTGCTTGATTTTAAAATGGTTTTGTTTTACAGACAATTTAATTTAGATTCCCAGCATTTCATTTAAGGTTTAAACCATCTGGCCTCATGTCAGCCCTGTTCTTAATGGGCTTTATTACAGCTGTTTGTACTGGATTTGAACAGGAGTACCAGTCGCAGTTTGATTTGGTAGTTCCCTAGTGCCACATAACTGTTTTAAAAGTAACTTCCCGGTTCCTCGCATTCTTAACATTAATTTTATATGTGAGTTCTTGCTATATTGTTTAAATTTGTACATCTATTGAGCTCACTTGTACATATATTATATATGGATCTGGATGATAAATTATATTTGATGACGATATTAGAAGGTGAGAGTGGTGACTCTCAATACCTACACTGAATAAGAGTTTTAAATTTTGTGTACCTGCTGTGGCCACAAGATGTCCCTGTAAGACAGGAGAGATGCCCATGAATCCACCTTTGAGATTATCCTGGTGAAATAAAGTTAATTATATTGAATAACTTAACCTAAAATAATACGTTAATGTGTCAGTGCGTTAATTAACATAAATGATCCTGCTCCTACAAAGCAGCATGTCATTATAACAGTCATATGAAATATACCTTGTAAAAATGACATTTTGATCCCAATGACAAGTTAATCATTGCATAAATCCCAGATTACCCTAAATGTGTACTATATTACACCTCACAGGATCACTGTCAACACCTGGGATATAACAGGTAAACAGGAATTAGGATAAAACATCTTTACAAAGGTACTCAAAATTAACAAATGTCTTTGGTTTCAGATGATTGAAAACTTTCTAATCTGCGGGCTGGGGTCTGACATCCTGGGGTGTACAGCAGGTGTAGAGAGTGTCTTATACATACAGGTGTGTGTGTGTGTATGTATAATCTCTATTTCCTACATTTCCTCCTGACCAGGGTGGTGACAGGAAGCCCATGTTCATTTCCAGCCTGCCGCTGTTTGCAAAGGCCGAAGGTCACCTTAGCCCATTAACTGTCACTGCTGTGACCCTGCAGTCACTTTACGCTGCCCCGGCACAGAAAACCCTTCCTGTCACACATTTCACATTTTACAGTGACTTTATCAGTTTAAATTGCATTACATACATTGATGATACATACAGTACACTGCCAGATAGTTTGTTCTTTATGTTTTGATACAGTATATTTTAGCAGTTTTTGATATACGCTAAGTATTACACCCTAATTTTAGAAACTATTACAATTAATTTACAACCACAGAAAGCTCAAGAGTTACAAGATTAAAAAGGTTTTAATCGGCATCGATTTCCTTCAAAAGCCAGCTGCTCTTCAGACTTACTTTAAGTTTCACCAACTTTCCAACAACAGACAAGTTTCTCGCAACCACACCGTCATTTTCTAGGCAGACTGAGGACAAGCTGGTGGTTTTCCATTTGTTTCCTGGCACTGTCAGTATCATTGTTTGTGAATGTGTGTCAGAGAGAGAGAGAGACATTGTACATACAGTGACCCACTGACCTAGTCAGAGTGGCTGTGAGCCATGTGCTCCATCATGAAATATTCTCCCATGGGCTTCTGATGATAGCATGAACAAGAAAACTTCTGAAATGGGTAAGAAGCATGTTTCTTGCACAAACTATCATAATCATAACTTTTTAAAATGAGTTTTATCTATTTAATTATTTATTAATGTTACTGTTTCCCTTTTAACACGTTGTGCTGATTTTCTGTGTCCCTAAGTATGTGTACTGCCACACCTTTTTCTTATGTGAACAACACTTCTTACCCATTTAACCCTTTAACATAAAATTTTAGGTTTTTCTTAAGTTGCTTTAAAAACATTTTTAAATCCTGCACTGTATCTGTTTGTTACAACTCTGAGAGAAATATTTAACCCATCAAACTCCATGTTTTTAATGGTGGCATCATTTCATAAAATGGATATATCCCAGATCTAGATAATTTACACATTTTTATAAAATTCAGCTTAAAATATTTGGCTATATGGAAAGTGTGGAAGCTCTTGTCAGTGCTCTAAAGTTGGACCCACCTGTCGGCAGGGATGGCCAGTATTAAGGCTATATGTATTTAAAATACCCTACAAAATAGGATTTTGTCATTTGTATTTGATATGATTAATGAAAATTGCATCATATTTTGTATCAAAACACTTAATACAGTAATAACAGTGTTTTGTAGTTTAAAAATACTGTAAACTACTTTGTGAAAAGTATATGTGATGATTAAAAAGGCTACCTCTGATTGGTGCCAACTCAGTTTTTTGCCCAGACTTGTTGAGATCAGAACAGAAAATTGATCCAGATCTGAAGAAGGTCATGATGAGAAACGTATAGGTGTGTAGCTTTCCATCGATTATTATTATTTTTTTAACATATCAATTCTTAACAGTTACTGTTAAGAATTGGTGTTTAGTAGCCTAGCGTAAATCATTAACCAATTAATGTTCTATTTGACCCGAGTAGCAGCCCTCACAGTTAATGTTAGCTTGATACTTTAAGCCTATTTTAAGCTTTTGTCAATTTTCACAAAAAAAGTGTTTTATAGTTACTTTATTACTTTATAATGCCATGAGATGGTGTAACTTGTTAAATGCACACACATGCCTTTGTGTCATTAACAATGTTGTGCTGCAATGCCGTTAAAGAGCAGGTTATCAATCCATCCACCACTCGTGTTTGTTGTAGCTCAGAATGATGCAAAGAAAGCCCTTCATTACCAAACACCAACTAACTAACTAAATTAGGACTAAATTAGGAGTCATAAGCAAACTGTTAGTTAAACATTAAACTGTTAATTACTTTAAAATTAACCTTCATCTGGGGGAACACAGGGATGTGTAAATATTTGGTCCGGTTGCCTGTCAGATTTATCTATGACTCACTAGGCAGAGGAAAGCGGTTGCTCTCAAACATTGGTCACTTAATCAACTAAGTCACTGTGAAGGGATAGATCAAATAGGCCGATAGAACGTTTGCAAAGTGATTTCATGGTACCTTAGTAATATATTTGCTATCTAATTTTAAAATACATTTTGATGTATTTTTGCCCATCCCTGCCTCTGGGCACCTCAGAGTTTAAGAAGTTAAAACAGGTTACACTTTGGCAACTAAGGCTTCACACTGAGAGACAATTTTGTGCTTGTGATTCACAACAATTACAAACGAATAAATATACAGCAAATGAGATACTATGTATTCCTTATTACTCCCTCATGAAATGTTCTTGCTTGGGTCCCTGACAATGTTATTAACAACAAAGCTTGTCATAGTATCCCAACGGTTGTTATGCATGTAAAAAGGGTGAGAAGCACTCTACTCTCCTGTGTAAATACAATAGTTAATGTGAGGCAGCGATGAAACCGCCCTCTAACAGCGACACTGGTGATGAATGATTATAGGCAATGAAAACATAAATAGTTTGTAAATGCACTTTTATTACAATCCACATGTGCTGGTTGCTCCAAATGGAAAGTGAAATGGGACAAACAGAGCAAAGAAATACAGTGATACTTTCAGACCAAACCACAGTACAAAAAGGGCATCCATATGTACAATATATCCATGTACAAAAAAAGCTATTTTACACGCAGGTATGAAAAAAAAAAAAAAATCATACATCTTTGACAAACTGTAGTATTACAGAGACAATACAGGCAACAGTGTATAGTTTTCAAACAGTTTTCTTAAGGCTTAAAAGCCCAGGAGTGTGCATTCTTTTTGACAAGTATATCAACTTTGTTTTCTTTTCTTAAACTGTCCTTTCTTTTCCCCCACATACACTCATAATATACATTCTCTATTTCACTCTCACACAACACACACACACACACACACACCCCAACCAGATGCAGAAACATATTGAGTGTTAAATAAGAATCCATTCATTGATCTCTCTGTCAGAGTTCGGTCTGAAACAGAAACAAAGGTCTGAACACAAATCACTTGGCATCATGGACCAGGAAACCGACTGAGAGGCTCCTACAAAGGATTGTCCTCTATTTCCTCTTGACAGTATCTCAGGCACTCCAAGGCAAGTCTCTAAGTCTCCAGATTAAGTCAAGAGTTTGATTAGTCTCTCAGTCAAATGTCATGCACTTGCTTCTTCTCATAGTAATCAAAATAAAGTCAAAGATGACAACAAAGTAAGACTTTTGACCCTTCTACTTAGTAGCCTTTGCTCCTCAGGTGTCTGCTGTAAGCTATCTGAGCACATAAAGGTCATAGGATCACCCCATTGTCATGACTGCAAGAGTGACAGTGCAAGAAACTGGAAACAGGTTCCTGTGAGTGAGAGCGAAAAACGCAAAATAAAATAAAAAGCACCTCAGACGCCCAGAAGTTCAACAGTCAGACCTCTAGTTCCTGGTTCTCTGTGTAGTGGAAGCGGTTCAACTTCTCCCTCTCCCGGTTTGAAATGTCCAGTTTGGGGGCGTGGGCTGGCTTTAGTGCCGGAGAGGGGTGTGAAGGTGCTGGGGATGGCGGCAGGGTAAGTTCAATCTCCTCATAGCAACGTGAGACAGGGGCGGGAGCTGGAGGATGTGTGAGCGGGGCAGCGGGGGACAGGAGGGGCACAGGACGGTCCACGTTTCTGATGAGGTTGACAAACTCCCTCTGGTTGTTGATGCCTTCTTCCTGTGGGACGGCCTGCTGCTTTTTCCGCTTTCGATGGAGGTGGGAGAGGGTGAAGGCGCAGGCCGCACAGCCACAGATAGTCACTAGAGCTAGGACACCTACCAGGATAATGTAAAAGCTCAGTCCCCCGTGTGTCGTGTCAGACATGGCACCTGCAGACACAGAGGTTAGACATGACTTCATAGAGATTTTGAACACACACACACACACACACACCCACCCCGCTTTTTCTTACCTTGACAGTGTTGACCAATGCAGGGATTTTTGAGGCTCATGCAGTCATTACCATAGTAGCCCTCGGGGCAGGCACACATGTATTGGCCCTCTCTGCTGTGACAGGGTTCCCCCTTCTGGCATGGGTTAGGATTGCACAGATCCAACACTATCTGAAATAATGGAAAGAACAAAACACTTACTGTTTAACTGCCCTTGTTACACCCATTGTGTCAGAACTGTGACCAGACCAATAGTGACTTACTCCCTAGAAGCCCTTGCTGGAGCTTTATCTCACAGTACTCTGTTCTGTAGTTATTTTGTAATTGTTGATTTGTTAATTTTGTTCAGTCAATCAGTTTACTGTTAACCAAGCTGGCCATTAGCTGTAGCTGTTGCTAATACAACTGTTAATTTATTGTTGGATGAACTGTGTACTGGGACTCTATGCATAGATTCATTACATTGATGGTTACCGATTCAAGTAAATATGAAACTTCTGCCCAATGCTTACTTATAAACTCACCAGAAAATTATTAATTTTACAAATGAGGGTTTATCTATGTTGAGTATGTCTTTGTACTTAATAGTCTACCTGACATTTTCCAAAATTTCAATTATTTGGCTTTCATTCACATTCTACTTCACAAGTCTTTAAAGGATTTTTTTTATGTACCTACAGGCATATTTGTGTTATCAATATATCATAAAATATTGAGGTACCTCTGTTTGGAACAACCTGAAATCAAATCTTAGAGATTAAATGAAGAACTTTTCATTTCAAATGTGTTTAATTTTCTGTTGTCTGTTTTTAACATTTATTTTTATGATGACAAGTGAATCCTAAATGTTATTCATATTGGGGAGGACTTTGTATAAGACTCTTGGATTTCTTCCTTCAGGGCACATATCCATTTAGTTGTGTTGTACTATGATGTTTTCATTCTGCAGACTAAGCTAGCCTTAAGCTAAGATCTATGAAGGTTCTCCAACCTCACAGAAGACTCCTGAAAATCCCATGGGACAGTTGCAGGTGAAGGCGCTTCCGTCCTTCTCCACACACTGTCCTCCATGCAGACAGGGGGTGCTGTCACAAGGGCTTGGACCATTTTGGCAATATTTTCCAGAAAAACCAGGTAGACACAAGCATCTGGACCCTGACACCTTGTCCTATGTGGGACAGTATATAGTGTATTTTACTTATATGCAAGTAAAACAGAGAGAGCAATGATTATATGAAGTGGGTAAAAAAGGGAACTGAAGAGAGAAAGGGGAAGCCTGTGATGGATCTGCCGCAGGCAATAAAACACTGCCCCTTTGAGAATAAGTACTGCACACATTTCAATGCAAAATAATTTCAAAAATAGTTTTTTTTATTCTCTGCAGAAAGCCTGAAATGTTTTGGGCGTTAACACAATTAACACGATGTCTATGAAGATTCTCAGTCATCCAGGTCATAGTTATCCAACGAAGGTTAAAGTCAAGGGCAATCTTCAACCAAGTCCAGTTGCCCTTGACTTTAACCTTCGTTGGACAATTAACACGATTCCCAGTGATTCACTTTTAAATCATTTAAAACTCTCGAGTTGTGTGAGAAGTCTTAAAGAAGGCGACAATGTTGCTACAGAGAATATGAGAGAGTGAGACAATGAAGCAAGCCAGTGTTGTGACCGATGTGCAGAGACATCACTAAATAAGACACAGCGAGAAAGGCAACACAGCCAGGACTCCTTACCTCGCAACGTCCGCTGTTCAAACACAAACCCTGACAGCTGCTGTTCCCTAGAAACCAGAAAAAAAGACTATATTAATCTATATGCAACTATGATGCTGTAAACAACAATATTCAAATTGAAAAGGGGGTGATAATGGTCAAATCGCACACTGGTTTAGGATAGCGTTACATTTTTAGTGTATTTCAGTGATACTCTGTGACAGGTGATTAATGGAAGAAGAGTTGAAGTAAAATGGTCTCCTGCCTGCAGGGAGTCTGGGCTGCTGGGTAATTGCTGTTTAAATCCACTGAGGCTCTTCATGTGTCACAAGCTGCCACGGGACTATGACTTCTTTATTGTTATATTCCTTTCCTTTTATACTCACTGATGTCACAGTTAGGCCCCGTCCATCCAGGAAGACAGTCACACAGGTATCCACCAATCAGGTTGCGACAAGAGCGAGCATGGACACATATACTCGTTTCGCACTCGTTGGTGTCTAAAGGGAGAAAGAAATTGTTTCTAAAAGTACTGATCTGATGAACAACAATTCATCTCTACTTTAGACTTTTCATCTAACATCTCTGATACATCTACACCAATAACGTTTCTGGACAGAAGCTACAGATACCAACAATTTATATCAACATTAATTTCCCAGTTCCTCTTTTATTCTGGACATGCATCATTTTGACCGCAAATGGTCTTCCTCAGATAACATAAGAAATGTTGCAGGTATTTATTCATTGTTTTGTATGGACTATTGTTACCGAGCACCTGTAAAACTATGTGGATGTGTATACCACACTTTCCATCATCATTCTGCTCATATGTATTTTGATTTTAAATAAAAATTTCAATTGTTGATCCCACATTTATATTTGTTTTGCTGATGGACAAAAAGCTGTCTCTGAATTCACTCTTTAAACTAATACTACAAAGTATGTACTATTATTTACAGTTTGCTGTTTTAACAGTTCTTATACAGGAAATTAAACAAGAGGACACACAAAATATCAGTCAGAACTCATAAATAGCACCACACTAATTAAACTTTGCACTGAAATTAGGAAAAACTTCCCATAAAACAACTGAATCTAATCCTGTATGTCTCCTACTTTAGCCACCAGTTAAACCAAAGTTAAATCAAATTTTGAAGTGGAAGCTTGAAGTGAACCGTGAAGCAAGTGGAGTGCCCAACTTTATCAAATATTATGTTTGCAAATGCACAGTACATCCAAAATATTGCCTGGCAGCATCTTCTTATATCTTCTTTGTTTATGCACAGATCCCCTGCTGTACCACTGCTTCTGTTAACTTTAATGTGGGCCTATTCCCACCCTCTGTCACACTGGGAGTGTAAAAGCCAGGAACCCCCGAGGGCTTGGCTCTGATAGCAGAGGAAGAGGATTAGAAAGAAATGCTGAATGAATAAAGAGGAAGTAGTCAGTCAGTTATAGGTAATCTAAACCCGTTACCATCAATAAGAGAGCTATTAGGATTTATCACTGATGGAGTGTGCATTTGTGTGTGTGTGTGTTCAGTCTATAGGAAGAGCCTGGGGATTCTGCCCAGACAGAAGTCGACTAATAAAAGAGTGAAACTGATAGAAAGTATAATTGCATTTCAC